ATGAACAATCTGGGAGATTTGACTGGGGACAGGGGTGGACAGGGGATGGGCTAGGTTGGAGGAATTTGGAAGGGGAAAGAGAAACTTCAGAGTGGAGGGGAACACCATAGGGTGCTTAATTAGATGAGTGTCATAGGATGACACTGACCCATTTGAACCAGGTTGATGTATTATATTGCAAATATACATACTTTGAGGATGTACATCACCAAGATAACAAGAACATAGGCAATACATACTCCCTCTGTCCCACAGTAGTGGCTCCCTTTCAGTTATGATGCTTGACTGAAATAATTTTCAATTTAATTTATTAAAATATTAATGCAAAATCAAAGGATACATTTTATATATTTAAGAACTATCTCAGACTCTACTTTTGTGGGATTCTACTGGCTTGTTTTATTTAAAAACTACACCAAAAGCTCTATAGAACAAGAGGTATCATAAAAATTGTATTACTACAAATGCATAACAAAAATGTATAAGGAAAAAAGATACTGTTTGACCCTAGCAAGAGTGAATAGGACAATTCTTATGGGACAGAGAGTATATCCAATACAAACTCCGCGCACCAAGATATCAAGATTCAATATTAATGCGTTTCAAAACAAAATTTTATGGCAGAAATGATACAATAAAGGAAAACATAAAAGAAATTATACAAAACCCACAAAGGAGGCAAAAGCTGGATTCTGCGCATAAAACACAAACTATATTTATACTCTTCTTGTCTCGATTTAACGTTTCATTCAATTTTTGCATTAAAGTTTTATCAAATGAATTATGTGATTGATGTTTTTACAAAAGAAAGTGAAACAATGCAAAGTATAAATCACACAATTCTATCCTTAAAAGAAAATAAAAACATTATTCAAGTGACTAAAAAAGAGGGGTAGGAGTATATTAATTTTACTAAAAACAAATATAACCCTACTGCCGCAAACAAACCGAGACCCTTGGCCCTTCCCTAAAAAACCAAAATAATAAAGAATCAGTCTCCTTAACTTTTTTGCTATTTTTGAACGATTAATCGGCGCATGGGGGTATGGGACAAAAAGTCATTGTCAAATCGTTGACCACATAACCTAACGTCAAAGCCACAAGTCGCAGACCCTAGTTGTTCCCTCGCGAGCGACGAGATGACTAATTGCCAACTAGCCGATGACTTAATATCTATGTTGACAAAATGTTCTCAAATAAAAACTTCTGCTTTATGATTTTCTGGATTTGTTCTATCATTTGTTTAATTGTTGTTTTTCCTACTTTTCTGATTTGCTAGTTTGATTTCTCTTTTTTCACCTGATTTTGTGTTTTTGAAGTTTTCCATGTTTGATATTTGTTTTTTCTAATTTATGCTAGTTATTTCATGTCTTTTTCACTAAATAGATGTCTCTAATTATATTCATACTCCCTCATGGAGTTTATCAAGTGTTTAAAAGTGAAAAGCGTTTAGTGAGAAAATGGATGGTGAAAATTTGAAAGGTGTTTGGTCAAAAAGTGGATGGTGAAAAAGTGAAAGGTGTTTGGTAAAAGAGGAAAATATAAGAGCCACATATTCATTTCCTAAAAGGGGACAAGGAAAAGTGTAAATCCATTTTGGGACATCAAATAAAGGAGACTGTAAACTTCATTTTGAGATGGAGGGAGTATTAGTTATGGCCAAGTGTTGGATGGATTGGTGCACTCAAAGCTAAGAACTTCAACATATTATATGCTATATTTTAAACTAACCTTACTATGTTTATTACTTACAACTTGTCACTTAGGCAATTGCCTAGTTGACTAGGCTTCCTAGCGATCCACTGGTGTCATGCTTCGTTGTGGCACCATGATAATTGATAACTATGTTTGTATGGTTGTGGCATAAGATGGATTGAGTTGTAAGGGGGGAATGAATTAAAAATCAGGACAGTATAAATGAAAAAACCAACCTTCGAAAATATCTTTTCAATATCCTGCAAAGGCTGTGTCCGTTGAAAAAAATAAACCAAATACTCAAGTAGCTTCTCCAAATATTCCATGTACTGCCTGTTGAAAAAAAAGATAATGTTAATGGAACACAATATATCATATTAAAGAAAAGAGAATCTAACCATGTTAGTAGTTTTGTGCCCTCATACATACCAAACTATGAGTTCAACTATCAAACAAGTTAAAACTATGCGGAATGCAAAGGAATACTGAGGATCTGCCAAAACATACTTTCCTAATAGAGTAGAGGCAAGCAGAAACTAAGACTTACAAAATGCAGTGAGAAATATACTTTCCAAATATAGATGTGACCTTCTACCGCAAAAATTGTGCTACTTAATCCCAAAAATGCGGTGAAACCGGAGAGTGAGGGTGGGTAGAAAATAATGTATATGGTGCACAATGTAAAGACCAAATAATCAAGTGCTTTGTTGCACAGCAAAGGCTTAAAATTCCATTAAGGTCTCTCACAACACAATAGCACAAGAATGCCCTTCAGTCAAGAATAAAGAAAAGGGAAAAGCTTTGTCTCTACAGCTTCCTACATATCATGAGACCGCAACACAGGGGTCGTCCACTCATGTCATAAGCATGGCTCTCAAGGTCACAGGCTGACGCTAATGTTGGCCATTGCTTACCAGTTACCGTGCATACAAGTGATACCATATCTAATAAGCTCATACATCTCCCAACTATTGTGTTGGGCAAATCACCCGACGGACCCTATGCTGATAGTGTGTTATGAAATGGAATATACAAAATAGAATATAATGAAAACAATGACTTAATTGAGCGGAAGGATAATAGTCCCTTGGACTTAATACTGAATCCTTGCCCTAAAGCTGCACAAGATATACATATTACTGATAAGTAAGAAAGATACTCCCTCTGTCCATTTTTTATCTTCCCGCTTTCCTTTTTCATCCGTCTATAAATTATCTTCCCATTTCCTTATGGTAACTTTTTGTGTAAAATGATTAAGTTACCTTTCTTCCGCCAAAACCCCCACACCATCCCCCCCCCCTTCTAATTTGCCTTCTTCCACCAACCATCTCATCCATCTCCTTCAATTCATCTTCTTTTCTTTAGGCTTATCAAGCATTATTGCCTGTTGCTTGTTCATCCGTTGCCAGTCGCATGTTCATCCACCGTCTTGATTGAGTAGATCTGCTCATCCTCCGCCGCCATCAATTGCTCTGATCTACTCATCCTCCGACATTGCTGTCGTTGATTGTGCAGATCTATAAATTAAATCCGCTGATGTCGCAGCCCCGTGATCGTCACCTTCCTTGCTGCTGCTTTTTTGCCTCGCTGATGTCGCAGCCTCATGGTCATCGCCGATGTCACAGCCCTGCTGTCGATTGTGCAGATCTACAAATCTGCCGATGTAGACTTTTGTGCCTTAGCAGCAGCAAAGCAACAGATCTAAGGGAATTGAACGAAAGAAGAGTCGGAAATAGTACAGGGGTATCTTAGGAAAGTCAACACAATATTTAACTTTTCTTAAACTCCGTGCCCCGTCAAAGCGGAAAGATAAAAAATTGGACGGAGGAAGAAAAAGGCATACAATAGGAAAACTGTAGAATGACGGTAGAAATCAAGTGGCCGAAGAAATTATGGATCTCATCCCTTAGAATAGTCCATTATGCAACATTTGACAAGGAATATGTCCAATGTGTTCCTTAGGATATATTGAGTGCATTGATGATTTTGGTGTGGATCTTGAGGATATGCTTCTTGGAGGTTTATGAAATCCATATTAACTAGAATAGGAAGGGCAAGAAAATTCAGCACGTTGTTGTCTCCGGGTTAAAGCATAAGCCCCAAGGTCATCTTTTCACCTTTCTGTAGATGATCGTGAAATCAAAGGGTAAATGGGTAATAACTTCATGAGAAGTTGTTGACGTGTTATCACAACTGGTCCAATAGATACTTGAGATTATGGTGATCAATTTGGGCAAGGAAATGGTGGCCTGGCACATACCATTTCTGCAAAGCTACCAGTGCAAGAAATCCTCGGTCATAAGCAGATTTAAGACTATAAGAAGCATTGTGTATTGCGGTATCGAGGCATTTTTATGTCAAGGCGTATTGCGTAATCCTCAAATTTAAAGTTCAAAAGTGTGGATATAACAATTTAAGCAATCTATTTAAATAAAAAAACAAGACTAAAAATTTGTATACATGCAATTTTCAAGTTTGAATGACAAATAAATAACAACAACAACAACAACAACCCAGTTAAATCCCACAAGAGTAGAGTCTGGGGAGGGTGTTTGCCCCTACTCGAAAGTAGAGAGGCTGTTTCCAAAGAGACCCCCGGCTCAACGTCGAACACAAGTTAGAATAAATTGCAAACATTTAACAAATATACATTGGTAAACACAAATGGATCAAAAAAAATTATGTGGCCTGGATGCTGATCAAATAAGGGGATAAACTCAATACTCTGTAAAACATTCAAAATACTATAAAATCAACAAGAATAGGAGAAATGATAACGCACACGATGATGCTCAACAAATAATTCAAAAATCAACAATAAGAAAGTACTCCATAAAACTTACGTGGCAGAGAATATAGTGGATAGAAGAGTAGAGGTGCAAAGCAATCGAAGAAGATCGATTGATGCTCGACGAATAAGAGAGGCAATCTACTAGGGTCATGGCTTTATTATGTAAGAGTAAATTCCCAAAATGATACTCAATAACTATGTGTTTTACCAAATTAGTCCTCAAAACTAACTAATTCCTGAAATCATATTCTATAATTGAGAATAATACTCAGTTCAGTCCCCCGACTAACGGCCGTTAAAATGGCGTTAAAAAGACGTTAAACTTTATACTACTTTCCCAAAATGGTATTTTCTAACGGAGTATTTTCTCAATTTGGTCCATTTTCGAAATAAAAATTAATTATGAAAAAATATTTTAAATTTTATAGGATGATAATATAATTCTAAGAACTATAAATATAATTTCATATATTAGAAAGTAACGTTTTAGATTACTTACAAATTATGTAAAGGAATATCATGTAAACAAAATATTTAAAAAAGCGTTGAAGAAATCACCCTAAATAGGAGTAAAACATAGAGAAAAAGTTCCTATTTTGGTACTTCATTTATGTTTTACTCCTATTTAGGGTAATTTCATTAACGATTGTTAAACATTTTATTTACATGTTATTCTTCTAAATAATTATAAATAATTGAAAATATTTTAAATTTTATAAAATTATATTTATAGTTTTAAATATTACTCCATATATTGTCATCCTATAGAATTTAAAATATTTTTTCATAATTAATGTATTTTTATTTCAAAAATGGATCAATTTGAGAAAACACTCAGTTAAGAAGTACCATTTTGAGAAAGTAGTATAATGTTTTACGTCGTTTTAATGCCGTCTTAACGGCCGTTAGTTAGGGGACTCAACTGAGCATTATTTTCAATTAACGAGTACCATCTTGGAAATTAGTTAATTTTGAGGACTAATTTGGGAAAACACATAGTTATTGAGTACCATTTTGGGAATTTACTCATTATGTAATTTAACTTCATAGAATTTTTAAGTAAATTACGTATTTAACCCAATTCTTAATTTTTTGGGGAGAAAAAATGCGTACACCTCATGGCGTACGACTCAAAAAGCTTTCGACATTGCCCGCCATATTTGCACAATATCTCCAAAATCCTTGTTGCGTAATTGCTAGATCACCATATGGCATAATTTTTTGGAAACTGCCATAAGGCAAGCCATATGAAGGGTTACGCAATGCTATTCCGAACATTGATAAGGAGAGAAACCCTTACTAAAATATGAGACTGGATTCAAGGATTGTAGAAGGATGGCTCCGACTCGTGCTGAAGATGTGTGGTTTTCCACTGAAGCATTGATTGAAATCGGGCAATTTCAAAATTGGTTATGAACTCAAGGCAGCGTTCAACTGCTGAAATGCTGATTCAGCTTGTTGCATTCCAGCGAAATCCATTTTTCTTAGTCAACGGCCTTGTAATGAGTCCATAATTTTTTATAAAGCAACAATAATAACCTGTCAAACCTGGCAAACCACACAGATCTTTAACGTCACCGGGTTTGGGACACTTCATAACTGCTCGAACTTTATTGTAATCAATGTCATGGCTACCACGGCAGCAGGTCGAGTCGAGTCGGTAAAGAGGAGACTTGTGGACTAGTCGGCCTATTAGTCATAGACTCATAGACTAGTCCACAAATCATAATAAGTAATGAAAAATTTACCATAACATGAAATATCATTACCATAACAAAATTATATTTAAAGGTAGCACATCAACAAACATAACAAGCCAACAAAGTGTACGTTCGCCACCTATTCCGCTGAGCAAAATGTGTGTTCTACAGCTAGTGTTGGTTCGACCCTTCTAGGCAATTTTCAGCTGGGTGGAGAAGGCTGGATTGGACCTTAGGCACAGCTACTTCAGCAGAAAGAGTATCAAGATTTCAAGTCGAGAAACGATGGTGAATAATTGTTGGGTCAGTGCATTTGGAGATGGGTATGGGTGACATGAAAGGGAAGTATTGGGTTGATCATTTTGTAATGTAGTTTTAGTGCTGAGTATGTTGGACTAGAAAAAGCTCTGATGCCAAATGATAGAGTAGCTTATAAAATGGAATACAGAATATAATGAAAACACTAGTTTATTTGAGTGGAAGGATAACAGTTCCTTTGGTGAGGCCAAGGCTCCGCTCACAAGTGTAACTTAATACTGAATGCCTGCCATCTAGAGTAGGATGTATTATACTCCCTTCGCCCCAATATGAAGTTTCCTTTCACTATTCACATTCTTTCTATATTTTTGTTACTCATTTGATAAAATAATATAGTCATGTAACCTTCTATTGTAGGATTTAAATATATGAATTTTACTTTTGAGATCCACACCAATTTTCAAATAAATTGAATTAAAAATAACTTCAGTGGAAACTTCATTTTGGGCTGGAGGAAGTATATAGGTAAGAAAGATAAAAGACGAGCAATAGGAAAACAGTAGAAAACAAGTAGCATCTAAAGTCAAGAATATTGACTCTTAGAATATTCCATTAGGCAACAATTGACCAGGAACACATTCATAATGTGCATTATGTTTCTCAAAATCCTATGTTTTTCCTTCTAAAATAAGTGATGATTTCCTTGCTATCATGATGGTTACATGAGCGAAGGCCATGAAGTCCAGGAGACCTTCTAAGCCCTGCTGTCTATGACCTAATAAATTGGGCTCGGAAAGCCAAAGAGTCTAACCTCCAACACATTCATTGAAGAACAGAGAGAGAGAGAGAGGGAGGGAGGGAGAGTAGATTTTACCTTGTTGACTTCTGTTTGCGTGGAATTAATTGTGGTTTGTAGAAGACCTCAAGATAATGAGTATATTCAATTGGCTCACCAAATTTTAAGTTGATATATTCACCATGCAGCACGTGCAAATCAAGGTATCTCCCATGCCCTTCCTACATCAGAATCCCTGTTAGCTGTGATGTAATAAGAAAATCTCTAAATCCCTAAGTTTCCTACTCCGTATTGGTTTTAATCCATTTGTTTCGGATTACTTGCTTTCCAAGTTTTTGTTTGCTATTTGTTAACTGTGACAATCTATGTGTTACTTGTTCCACTTATCAGTTGCTCTACATAGAGGGCTAAAGACAATTTAGTTAACTATTATATGAATTATTTCGTATTTTATTTCATTGCATTAGTTTCTGTCTTATAAGCCCTTCTTGGTTCTGTTCTCTTCTCACCTGCTTCTACCTTTCATATTTCTGTGAATTATTACAAGTGGTATCAGAACACTATTTCCTCGGCCAACCATGAACTATTATGGCGGGGCCATGACTGATTCAGAGGAACAGATGAGAACAAGAAACAAGACCGTTAATAACACACAAACATTTACATCAATTCACGCAGGGTAGAGATGACATACATTTTCATGGGAGCTTACTGCTCCTGAAGAGGAAAACAACTGGATCCAGTCATGTTCGATGCCATAGAGTTTCTTAATCCTGCATCCATCACGTTAATAACACACAAACAATAAAATAAGCGAAAAACAACAGCTGTAAACAGAAATATATATTCGGAAAGAAAAGGGCCTGCAAAAACAATATTAGACCGTTAAGAGATCAACAAAATTAATCAAAATTGAATGTAGAATAAAGAACGACAGAGATTCAAACTATCAAGATCGAAGATCAAGAGCCTTTGGGAGATCGATTGAGAACAGATTCAATGTAGCGAGCGAGAGCGAGAGAGAGCAGAGAACGGAAGGGGATTGAGAATGGTTCGCTTCAAACTGTTCTAGGGTTATATTGACGCCGTTTGGCAAAAAAGAGTCGTTGTAATTTGCTTGGACTAAAATGCCCATCCGAGTCAGGGGGGTTCCAGCAACTCTATGGTTTGGGAAAGGAGCTCTTAATTACGCTCATTTAATTATTAATTACACAATATAAAAACTATAAACAAGTAATAAATATCATAATCATCTTGCCAAACCAGAGCCTTCCTGTCACGTTTGCTACGCCATACGTGCACCTCATTTTCAGCCATATCTTCATCCTCCACTACTCTACTGTCAGCCCACTTGCATCACTATCCTTTTAGCCATAGCATTATCTGAACTAGCGATCGAGCAAAGGTCAGAAGCAAATAGGATATAAGAGATGGACCAGTTCTGTTGGAAGTAAATGATTTGGTGTAACTGGAATCAAAGATTGATCAATGTATCCCAAGTTTTGTTGGAAATAAATGGTTGATTTACCTCATCAAAGATAGATCAATATCCTAAGCATTCCATCCCCTCCCCTTCCCATTCAACTTTCACTTTTGAGTAGTGCCAAACAAATGCTTGAACCCCTTGTCTTGAAAGCCTCCAATAGCACTAAAACAATTAGAAACACAGAATGTATAACATAATATAGTGAGAATGCTCCAATATATAAAACCAGGAATGACCAAAGTACTCTGTAAAATATTGAATGCCAGAACGCATGGGCACTCACTGTGAAAAAGTAAGATCTTGAAAAAGTAATGGAG